CTTAGCGATTATAACTGTACACAAATCTACTATTTTATGACATGAAAAACATCATGGTAGTTCATTTTGGGATTTTTAAACTACCACTCACTTACAAACAAATATTGGATTTCTGAAGCAAACATTCAAAACAGTCGGGTCTTGGTAGAAGGCTACATTTTATACTAGGAGAAAATATGGGATTTTCTAGAGTTTTCAAACGTTTACAGATATTTACAAACATGTTCATTGGTACAAACTTTCCTTCAAAAACATTTATAGGTCTTTCAATTACAGCTTTACAAATCAAAGTCAAATACTTATGAATTCACCAGCATTATTGCTGATACTCGCTTTCAAAATAACTTGTATTCCCAGGATACGGATAGACAGGTACGACTACCAGGTTCTGTGAAGACGGAGAAATCAAGACTCGTCTTTTATTTTTGAATATTCATTTTGTAGAATTATACTATGAAAGAACTCAAATGTAATTAAAATTATACTATTAATGCAATGGATGATGTTGTTGCTTTGTTTACTACTTTGCATTGTTGTGATACATTACATGACGTCCTCCGCCCCAGAACGTTTCCTCCGTTCTCGGTTTTGGGGTGTGACAATAAAGCCTTATGATCGGGTTATACTTCAAATTTGGACCCTCATTGCATTCTAGAAATGTAAAGTTCCAGTTGTTGTCGTGATTGAGGTCCCTCTTGAGCTTGGAATCCCATTAAGAGCCTATATTTGGCATTTCAAGGCTTTAAAGCCATGCATGCACGTAAAGTTTGCAACTTTACGTAATAAGCATGTCCTAGAACCTTGGATCTGTGATTTGGAGCTGTTGCATGGCTCAAATCAAGTCTGTATGGAAAAGAACTAAATGGACTCAACAAGTCGCAAGGTTGACTCGGCGAGTCATATGAAGATAGTCGTGGACTCGACGAGTTGGATGAGCAACTCGGCGAGTCCGATGAAGATTGCCTTGGACTCGACGAGTTGTTCATACAACTCGACGAGCGGGATGAGTTTTCCCGATTAAAGTAGAGTTTGAGTGAAATGGATTCATTCCTTCTTAGTTACACTTAAAGTTAGCAACTTTATGTGTTCAGATGGTCCCAAGAGCTTAGACCTACGAGTTAGATGCTCTAGAATGGGTTAGAATCGATTGTATGAAATCTGTACGTTCGCACTCGGCGAGTTGTTCTTCGGACTCGACGAGTCGAGTCTCGAGTCCCCCGACTTTCTTCGATTTGTGAGTTCAGGATGAATCAGTGAGTGGGGGAAGGGACTCGGTGAGTTAAAGGTAAAGTTAGTAAGGGAAGGACTCAGTGAGTCTGCACCCTGACTCGGCGAGTCTAGTCAACTAGAAGTTGACTTTGACCGTGGAGTTGACTTTGACCAGGGAGTTGACTCTGATCAGGGGTAAAACAATTATTTTACCCTGAAGGCATTTATAAGTACCTGACCTAGTGTTTCGTGGGATTTGTAGCCAGACAGTTCCGGAGCAACAGCCAGCCAGCATTAGCGTTAGCATCTTAGCAACCAACGTTACGAGGTGAGTTTTCCTTCCAGTAGGAACGGGTCTACGGCCACAATGCTGGCCCGTTTAGTTAGCAGTAGTTCCGGACCTCGGTCTGATGTAGTAGTTAGAGTGCTTGATGTCTTTGTCATTCAAGCATGTTTCGTGCTATGTGTTCCAGACTCTGGTCCAATGTAGTATGCAGTATATGTGTTCATGCTAGTTGATATGTTTATGCTATGTTATGATTCAGTCAGTTCCGGACTGCGGTCTGATGCAGTCAGTTCCGGACTTCGGTCTGATGCAGTCAGTTCCGGACTTCGGTCCGATGCAGGGGACAAGGTCCCAATCAGTTCCGGACTTCAGTCCGATGCAGTTAGTTCCGGACTTCGATCCGATGCAGTTAGTTCCGGACTTCGATCTGATGTAGTTTCCGAACTTCGGTCCGATGTAGTGTTCAAGGCCCAATATGCGCTTTATATGTTATTGTATGATATGTGGTAGTTTGGGGGAGCTCACTAAGCTTCATGCTTATAGTTTTCAGTGTTTGTTTCAGGTACTTCTGCTAACAAAGGAAAGAGCTTGGGTTGATGACATCGCACACACCACAGCTTCGGTTTATCCTGGGAGTTTATTTTGGATATTACCTTGATTGATATAGATTAGTATGACACAGTATTATGACATTTGAATTGCTCATTCCTTGGTTATATTATATATGATGTGGTTTTTAGTATTATTAAAAAAAATATTGGTTCGTATTTTAGGTCATTACACATCACGATAAATAAATATATAAAAAATGTATTGTAGTTTTTATTGAAAAATGTTTATAAGTTATATAACGACAAGCCACACTATATATATATATATATATATATATATATATATATATATATATATATATATATGTCATGTAACACTTCCAAATATCAATTAATATATATTGCAAAATTTGGACACCTATCATGTATAAATATTCAGTTTATTTATATATTTTACAAACATATATGGAAAATATTATAAGGCTGGTGTTATGAAATAAAGAATTCGAAGTAGAGCAAGCCCTACCTACCAAAAAATATGAAAGTGTAAATATTATGTATGTATAATTGTTATAAAATGTCTCCAACCAATACCTTTATATATATATATATATATATATATATATATATATATATATATATATATATATATATATATATATATTAAAAGAGAAACTTGATGACATAATCTTCAATAATCAGGACCATTCATTGTATTTTCTTGATTAATTTCAACCATTGGATCATTTTGATGATGTCATATAAAATAAAATAAAATTAATATTAACTAAATTAAGTTGACTAAGTTTGGAAAGTTGAAAACTTATTAATGGTGACTAGAATTTTTAATTGGAATCTATACAAGTGAAATAAATGTCATTATAATTATCAAAACATAAATATGGTTCCTTCCTTTTTAAAATCAAGTAATTTGTATATACCTTTCATAATTATAGAATTTGAAATCAAAGAATTCAAAATAGTGTGATATGAATCACAATATTTATTTCTTCATATCCTTTCCAAAATCGTTGTTCAAAATTATGTTAAGTATATATTATCATTCAGTTGTTATCACAATTTCGTGAAATTTGGACTTTACAGCATCACGTTCGAATAACAACTTCAGAAGGTTAGCAATTTTTTTTTGATTTACTTATTAATTTCTTACTTCTGATTATAGTTTATGTGTTCAGTATATATATCAGTGACGTATTAATGGGTTTTTTGATAAACGGATTTTCTATTCTCTCTCTCTCTCTCTATGTGTGTGTGTGTGTGTTTGCATTGGATTAAGTAAAATTTAGTTTAATTGGTTATATGTTAATTGGATTGGATTATGTGTTTGGATTGGATGAAAAAATAAATAAAGAAAAGTAAAAATATAGTAGCTTCCAGAAGACTTTAGTGTCTATATATTAAAAGAAAAACTTGATGACATCACCTTCAATAATCAGGACCATTAATTGTGTTTCCTTGATTAATTTCAACCATTGGATCATTTTGATGATGTCATCATAAATTAAAATAAAATTAATATTAATTAAATTAAGCTGACTACGTTTGGAAAGTTGAAAACTTATTAATGGTGAGTGAAACTTTTAATTGGAATGTATTGAAGTGAAATAAATGTCAACATATTTGTCAAAATAAAAATATGGTTCCTTACTTTTTAAAATCAAGTAATTTGTATATACCTTTCATAATTATAGAATTTGAAATCAAAGAATTCAAAATAGTATAATATGAATCACAATGTTAATTTCTTCATATCCTTTCCAAAATCGTTGTTCAAAATTATGTATAAGTATAATCTCATTCAGTTGTTATCATAATTTCGTGAAATCTGACTTTGCAGCATCACATTCGAATAACAGCTTCATAAGGTTAACAGTTTTTTTATATACTGATTAATTTCTTACATCTGATTATAGTTTATGTGTTTAGTATATGTATCAATGGCTTATTAGTGAGTTTTTGACAAACAATCCAAAGGTAAAAAAAAGTATATGTTCAGTATATTCTTGCTGTAAAAACTACTTTTAATTGGAATTATTTGTATATTCTTATATATATATATATGTGTGTGTGTGTGTGTATGTGTTTCTCAATCACCATATGCATTTTTGTCCAAAGGTAAAAAAAGGCAAATGTAATTTTGATATTGCAGTATTATACATACTTGTTGTAAAATGACCTATTTACCTTTGTTGTGTGTGTTTGTGTATGTGTGTGTGTGTGTGTTTGGATTAGATTATGTGATTATATTAGATGATGTAAAATTCAATTTAATTAGTTATGTGTTTGGATTTGATTATGTGTTTGGATCGGATGAAAATAGAAACAAAGAAAAGTAAAAGTGGAGTACCTTCTCAAAAAGTTTAGTGTCTACGTATATTATTTCATCAAAATGACTTATTTACCCGTGCAATAAAAACTACTTTTTTGGGAATGATTCATATATTTCTTTAATATATGTTTGTGTTTGTGTTTCTCAATCAGCATATGGTTTTTTGTCCTAAGGTAAAAAAAAGGCAATGTACTTTTGATATTGCCTTATTATACATACTTGCTGTAAAATGATTTGCTTACATCAAAATGATAATGCAGGTGTTATCATCCTCTTACGTATGGCAAATCTCAAAACTTGGGGTGGTAAGAATATTTTTTTCATTATAAATGTTCATGTCATTACATTAATATTTTATTTATAAGATAAATTAATTTATAACTTTAATTGTTATTTACAGGTCAGCCTCAAGTGGGTAACTGTTTGTTTCGGTCAAGATTGCATATTAATGATGACATGTCTCACATTTCAAAATTCAAAAAAAAACATACGTCATTTATCATTAATTAATATTTTAATGTTTGTTTTTCCTTATTTTTAATCATTAATTATTTATATTGTTTAAATTCTTCATTTTTTTCTTCTTATATATAGTATTGTTGATATGGATTTGAATGTTGAGTCTTCCATTAGTACTACACAACTTAACACTAATATTGTTGTGGCCAAGGTAGAATATTACTACCTCCGTTTTTCAATCAAGAACATTGATGATATTCCAGATTACAATAAGGTATACTTAACAATATTAATATTTTTCCATGAATTTTATAAATTTACAGCGCATAAAACAATGAATATATATATATATATATATATATATATATATATATATATATATGAATTTTTTTATATATTTTTATATTTTTTTTATAAAATAGGAAATTAGTTTGTCCATCATTGCTACTACCATCGGTTTTGATTTAAATGAAGACTGGTATTCTTTTTATTGTCATGACTATTCAAAAAAAGTAAGTAAGAATGATGGTGATACTAATGTTGAACCATTTACTTGTGACTGTTGTGGTGGAGTTTCTGATGTTTATAGCAAGTAAGTTCATAATTTTACATTTGTAAAATTCTTGTGTCATTAATCTATATGCGAATGTTTCCAATTTTATTTCATTGTCCATTAAAGTGTCATTTTATAATTTTTAGGGTAGGAGTCGTAATTCGTGTTCAATATGAAATTGAGTCTGCTTCTTTTGTATTGTTTGATCGTCATGTTAAAAATATTATTCACCAGGGTAATAAGTGGCTGATGGAAAAAAATCAAAGGTAGTGTTAATTTTTTTAATCGTCAACTCATCTCTTATTTTGTTTTATGATATTAATTTTTTTAATATATGTATTAAAGAGTTGAATAAATTCATTTTAACCCATTAATGCATCCAATTCTTTTTAACATAAAAATTTGTCTACAAATATGTTCTTCAACGAGTTATACTTTTTTATGTGTTCCCTCGTGTTTAACGCATATTATAATCTAATATATATTAAAAGAGAAACCTGGTGACATAACCTTTAACAATCAGGACCATTCATTGTGTTTCATTGATTAATTTCAACAATTGGATCATTTTGATGATGTCATCATAAAATTAAATTAAATTAATATTAACTAAATTAATCTGACTACTTTAGGAAAAGTTGAAAACTTATTAATGGTGAGTGTAACTTTTAATTGGAATGTATTGAAGTGAAATAAATGTCAACATATTTGTCAAAATAAAAATATGGTTCCTTACTTTTTAAAATCAAGTAATTTGTATATATCTTTCATAATTATAGAATTTGAAATCAAAGAATTCAAAATAGTATGATATGAATCATAATATTAATTTGTTCATATCCTTTCCAAAATCGTTGTTCAAAATTATGTATAAGTATAATCTCATTTAGTTGTTATCACAATTTCATGAAATCAGGACTTTGCAGCATCACGTTCGAATACCAGCTTCATAAGGTTAACATTTTTTTTGATTTATTGATTAATTTCTTACATTTGATTATAGTTTATGTCTTCAATATATGTATCAGTGGCTTATTAGTGAGTTTTTGATAAACGGATTTTCTATTCTCACACACACTCTCTCATTCTCTCTCTCTCTCTATATGTGTGTGTGTGTGTGTTTGTGATTGTGTGCTTGTGTGTGTTTGGATTGGTTCTATGTTTGGATTAGATGACGTAAAATTCAGTTTAATTAGTTCTGTGTTAACTGAATTGGATTATGTGTTTGGATTGAATGAAAAAAAAAAGTAAAAATAGAGTACCTTCTCGAAGGGTTTAGTGTCTATATATATTAAAAGAGAAACTTGATGACATCACATTCAACAATCAGGACCATTAATTTTGTTTGCTTAATTAATTTTAATCATTGAATCATTTTTATGATACCATAATAAAATAAAATAAAATTAATATTAACTAAATTAAGTTGACTACGTTTGGGAAGTTGAAAACTTATTAATAGTGACTGAAATTTTTAATTGGGATGTATTGAAGTGAAATAAATGTTAAAATAATTGTCAAAACATAAATATGGTTCATTCCTTTTTAAAATCAAATAATTTGTATTTACCTTTCATAATTATAGAATTTGAAATCAAAGAATTCAAAATAGTATGATAATGAATATATGTATGAAGTTATATATATATATATATATATATATATATATATATATATATATATATATATATATATATATATGGGTAAAGTGAATATACCTAACAACCTTATATAAACTTAGGTACCTAACCACATCATACTACGTAATTTTGTATCATATTTGCATTGTAATCACCCAAAGTTCTTAAAATTCAACCTCATAACTTGATTGCTTCCAAAATCTTTGGATTTTCACCATTATCATCCTTCAAATGACGTCTTTCTATCGGAACCCCCCTGGTAGGCTTCATATACTACCGTTACAAATCAAATGGTGTAGGAAGAATATAATGGTGACTATTTGAAAATCTTGGAAGTAAATTAAGTTAAGGGTTGAACTTTAAGAACCTTAGACGATTGCAATGGATATATAATGCAAAACAATGTAGTGTAATCTGGTTAGGTATATAAGTTTATATAAGGTTGTTAGGTATATTCACTTTACCCTATATATATATATATATATATATATATATATATATATATATATATATATATATATATATATATATATATATATATATATATTTGAAATAGGAAATTGGTTTGTCCATCATTGTTACTGTCATCAGTTTTAATTTAGACGAATGTTGGTATTCTTTTTATTGTCGTGACTATTCAAAAAAAGTAAATAAGAATGATGGTGATACTAATGTTGAACCATTTACTTGTGACTGTTGTGGCGGAGTTTCTGAAGTTTATAGCAAGTAAGTTCATAATTTTATGTTTGTAAAGTTCTTGTGCCATTAATCTATATTTGAATGTTTTCAATTTTATTTCATTGTCCATTAAAGTGTCATTTTATAATTTTACGGCGATGGTCGTAATTCGTGTTCAATATGAATATGACTCTGCTTCTTTTGTATTGATTGACCATCATGTTAAAGATGTTATTCACCATGCTAATTAGTGGTTGATGGAAAAGATATCAAATTTAGGGTAAATTTTTTAATCGTCAACTCATATCTTATTTTGTTTTATGATATTAAGTTTGTTTAATATATGTATTGAAGAATTGAAAAAATTCATTTTAATCCATTAATCCATCCAATTCTTTTTAATATAAAAAGTTGTCCACATATATGGCATTCAACGATTTATACTTTTTTTGTATGTTCCCCGCGTTTAACGCAAGTAATAATCTAGTACACATACATACAACAACAGTGTATATAAAATCTATTAAAAATTTACATCCATACCAATCAATAAATTCATATACAAATGTATTTTAAATGAATCAACACACATTACATACATATAGAAACAAATACATTATAAAAATATTAAATGAAACGTATACTCTTTACCCTTAAATAGACAGCGAAACAAGGATGAAACATATACACTGCTCAACTATTATACAACTTGCTTCTAACCTTCAGCTTATACAAAACCACAATCAAACAAAGTACAAAGATAATAATAATAATTAAAAATAAAAATAAACACTCAAACACATTGTATCATCTTCTAATCGTGAACAATCAATAAGAACAACACTTTCTTTTTGCTAATCAAATACTCAAAAAAAAAAAAAAAAAAAAAAAAAAAAGGTTCATCCTGTTCGTCCTACCCTTTCGGTGGACAACAAACAACCAAACACTTTTTTTCCTCAACTGATTATCTTTTTCGTTTCTTGTCAATTGAACCCTCCGAAAAACACCCTGAGAGTCGCTTTTACTGCCACCAATGGACTAAGAACATCACAATCCACCTCTGTCCTTTCCTGTTTCGATGACCAAGCCTCAACCCAAACATCCATCGATTATTTATCAAACATCAACACATAAAAGAAGAAGAAGAATTCCCTATATCAATTTCTGTCAAGAACAATTAAAAGAAGAAGAAGAAGAACAGGGGAGGCTGCCGTAGCAGCCCCCATTGGCTTACCTGCTACTGATCGAAATAACAGCCCCACCCTCGCACTCCTCTTCCCCTCCCGTTAAGCAAACCCACCGAACACCACGTAATCATTGCTGCTGCTGCTCGCGACGCCTCCCAGACCCCCTTCGGATCTCCTTCCCCTACGCAGCTACATCAAAGACAGAAGACGAGCAGCCCCGCTGCTTCGCTTCTGCCTTCTCGTCCGAGGTCACCGCCGCCTCGCTGCTTCGATCTAGTCAAACTCTGGATGCCACCACCGATTGCAAGTCGAGCAACGAACCTTCGTGATCCCTTTTGACCCATCGACTGGTCGTTCACGTTTGCCATTCATCTGGGTTCTTCGTGTCGACTGCTTTCAATTGTAGCTTTCTATTTCTTTTGCCCGATCAAACAAAGAAACGGGGGCTTAAAATCCCTAATTTACTTTAGCTACTTAAATGACCAAACTACCCCCACTATTAAATCTTTATTCAAAATATTTCCTAATCCCCAAATAATAATCTCATTTATTCAAAAACAACCCATACCTTGAAAATTATCAGCCAAAACAGTCATATTTATTCAAGAAGTTACATACCAGCCCCTATAATTTGTTCAAGTTACGAAATCAGTCCCTCCATGAATTATTTTACCCAAATTAGTCTTATTTTGGTTAATCAAAATTAACAAACAACTCCCCAATAGTTTATATTTGTTACAAAATGGTCCCGAGAGTATTTCAAAGTTCAAGAATGGTAGATTTGTGATTTCTCACGTCAAGCTTCCAAAAAATTAACAAACTCCAAACAACTCGAACTCACACTTCAAGGGTGAATGCTTAAGGCCCCTTTTAATATTTTGCTTATACAAATGAATTTACTTTTTATGCTAAAATACAATAAATCTGGTTTATAAAAATATTATTATTTAACAATTTTCCAAATTGTTACGAATAAACTAGTAAAAATTCTCCATATACGTATTATGGTTATTTTATCATGAAATAACTAGTTCACACGACAAATGTTACATGATACAAAATTTTATGATTTGTATATGACATTGTATATTATAACAATCACATTATGAAAATCTGTAGTATTTCAAGGATTCAAATTATTACTATGCATGTTTATTTGTATGTTTAGGTACACAATGTTTATACATGTACATATGTTCATTAATTTGAAAAATTCATTTTTATAGAAGCAAGCACACCACACTTTTGCATACCCAATGTTTATACGGCGATATTCATTATGCCTAGTTACCCAATCACAATTAAGTTAATTTTATGAGTTATTCACAAACTTTTTAGTTAAGGGCATTCTAGTGAGACGTTATTCATTAGCTAAGTTTAAACACTTAGCATACTTGTGACAACTCGAAATTTCTATCTTGTACAAACCATTCAATTCAATCAAAGTCAGACTTGTTTCTGCTAACTTTTAGCACTGTTCAGAGTCTGTGTTCAACATTCTGAGCCTAGTACACCAAAGGATTAAGTGTTTGGATGTGTCAACTAAATTACCAAACCATCAAACAAGCCATAAACCCAAAAATGAGGAGTTTACGGCCAAGACCCATGAGTTTACAGCCGTAAACTCATGGTGGCCTTAAACTCCACCCTATAAGTATGAGCCTTGGCCATTTTCTTCACTTTTCCTATTTCTAAGGCTTGGAATCCGATTTCTCTCCCAAGGATCATAAGGTTGTTGCTTGCAAACTTCAAAATTGTAAGTGATTTCCTTCCTTTGTGAGATTATACTCCTCTTATCCTTGATAACCCATTGATTCATACCTGGATTTCATCTTTAAGACTAGATCTTCAAATATTCTCAAGAACAACAACAACACTTAGGTATTTTGGGCCGAAAAGACCCTCCTTATGCCTTCAAATCGTAAGTATGTACCTCCTATACTTGTTAGTTCGTTAGGATGTTGGATTAAGGGCTTGAAATCAAGTTTTCCCCAAGAACATAAGGTGTTTACGGCCAAGAGCATCTCCCTTGGCCGTAAACCCTAATTGTTGGTGCATAAGGACCATAACTCCTTCCTAAGGCTTAGACATGAGACTAGATCAATTTCTTCATGATTGTAAGACCTTAACACACAATATGGTACAAAATACCATGATTTTACGTCCGTAAACTCATTGGCCGTAAACCCATGGGTTGTAAACTCATGGGGGTATTACCATTTGGGCCGTAAACTCCTATGTGAGGCCATACATCCCTTATAGAAACAACTTTACTAGTGAACTATAATAGGTATAGCTTAGGAAGTCACTACTCACTATTTCTAGTACAATGAAACATAAAAAGTGTCAGTTCATACATTAGACAATACATACTATTATGAGAAACAATACAAATATACTATGATCAGAAACTAAGAGAATATACTATTATGAGAAACATAACAAATACACTATAAAGAGAAACATATAGAGAATACTAAAACAAGAAACAATACATACTTTACACTATACAAGAGAACATACTATGATGAGAAACAAAGAGAACATACTACATACTAGACAGAGAGAACATACATTACACTAGTACACACAATACATATACAAGAATTCTATAACATAAATGTGAGTCACTACTTCGGGGCATGGCATCACTGCTATGGCTCATTTTGTAACAAGAGTCTCCTAGAGGGAGAGCGTGAATTTGTGTATAGATCTATACGGGACTAACCGTCCTACACCTTGCTGCTAGCTACAGTGGGACCTATAGGTATATGGGTGATGAATGTCATACCATTTCGACGTCTTTGAGCATCGTGTTTTACAAAGTCAATCAAGTATGGTTACAATTATATCACATTATACTTTAATTAACAATTGGCTTAAGGTAGTTAGTAAAGCAGTAGTCACTATAATACAACACTACAGTACTTTATCTTTTTCCCCATTGCAATCACAATGTGATCTTCTCACATAAACGGTAATGTAAACACTATATTTTGTTAATGATAGTCACAGTTGGGAAAAATACACTTTTACAAGAAACAAACATACAGAACATTTGATGCCTTAGTAGAAGGCTACTTTTAGTAGAAAATATAGGATTTTCTAGGAGATACAAACATTTACTACAAACATTTACAAACATATATATCAAACACTTACAAACATTTTCATACAAATAATGACACTAAAATGCTTATGAACTCACCAACTTTAAAGCTGATAAACTCTTTCAAAGTAACTTTTATTCTCATGTCATCAGTAGACAAGTACCGATGCCAGGTTTTGAGAAGATGGAGCTCGTTCAAGAATCATCTCTTATTTTGATTCATATTTTTAGTGCCTTATAAACTATATAGAACACACTTGTATTAAATTATATTATTAGTGCAATTGATGATGTTGTTTCTTATTTACTATAATGCTTTTTTGTGATACTGTACATGAATCCTCCGCCCCGGAACGTTTCCGTCGTTCAGGTTTTGGGGTGTAACAATACTCACACTACTATAACCGTTAATCTTCGAAGCAAGATACATATGTATAGATCTATACAGGGTTGATATCCCCACATGCAGTTGCTAGCTATAAGCCTCGACCGATCAATCGAAGCGGGTGATAGGTGTCTACAATTTTTACTACAACGTCCAATAAAGCATTGTAGGGGTTACACTCAAGTCATATATCTCAGTTCTAGGACTCACTATAAACATTAACTAGAATATTTCTCTCTCTCTCTCTCTCTCTCTCTCTCTCTCTCTCTCTCCTCACTCTCACTATAGCCTTGGGCTTGGTTGCTTTCAAAACTATTTTAAATATGGAATTACTTATGTAACACAAAATTTTGGCTTTCAAAGATTCATTACAAACACAATTTTATGTATGGATTTACTTATACAAAATATACATTTTGGCTTTTAAAGACTCATTGCAAACACTGTTTTAACCATTGTTATACATACAAAGAAAAACTTTTTAGACTTATTAAAAATATAACTGTTGTTAGCAGGAAACATGTAACGCTCGCCAACCTTGTGTTAACTCTCAAAACTACATGTATTCTCAGGAAATCACTAAATAGACATTCAAGATAGAATGGATTATAGGTGACCTATTTTACCTACTGTTGTATTATATGCCTATCTATTAAGGCAATTCATGTATTATAATTATTTGTAAAAACCTTGTATTCAAATATCAAGATGGAACGCGAATGATATTTTGTTTATTTTTGTATTTGTGCTATATATTCAATTTGCTTGTAATCGATGAACTTAGTCGCATAAACCGATGTGTTCTGGCGCCTCGGTCGGGGGTGTGACAGATTGGTATCAGAGCTAAATTTGCTATAGAGAACTCGTATCCTCGAAAGACGAATGTAATTGTAGCAACTAACTTCTAATAAAAGTATTATTATTATTCTTAACTACACTACTTCTTGGCTACTTACGGTACGAAAAATATGGTTTGAAGGGCTGCATAGGGTTGTTGGATTTCAGAACGGTATAATTACTAAAATGTTCATGCCCTCTGGTATTTCTGGTCTGGCCCTCGTTTATAATTGGTAGTCTTAGAGTACAATGTTTTTTAATAATACTGCAATACCTCACCAACAATAATATATAAGAGTTATATATACTCTAACCTACGATGAGAACACTTAATAAAATTCTAACATGCCTCCAACTAATACTATCAACTAAAAATACTTGATCAAATGCTAACACGACTAAACTCTGACTTTATTGGAGAACTAACTAGCTATTCCGACCATAAACCTTCCAAATGATACCCATAAATATGTTGGAATAGTGTCTAAGGCTGCAACTATATTATGCAAGTATTTGACCCGGTTGTGCATGGTCCTTTTGGGTTGCCTTCACCATAGCAACTTGATGGGATGATTTGTTAAGAGAGAGTAAATATTATAAGGAATAATGTCACACCCCCAAACCAGAATGGCGGAAACATTCGGGGGTGGATGACTTCACGTAGTATCACAACAATTGAGTATTGTAAAGAAAGTAACACAACCATCATATATATAAAATGAAAATGTATATTGTTGCGTTATACATGTTATCAAAAGAATATTACAATATGATGTTAAATGTTCAATAATAAAAACATCCTTAGTGTTCCTTCTCCCAAAAGTTGGTAGTTACCTGTATCACTGATTCCCTGAGAAATACAAGTGGTTTTAAAAAGTGTCAACAATTAAGTTGGTGAGTTCATGAGTGTTTCGAGTTGAAAAGTATATCCTTTTTGGTAGTAAATTGGTAAACGAGGTTTTCAGAAAATCCAATATTTTCTTGTAAGTGATTCAAAAAGTTTCCAAA